TCTTGCCCTTTGTCTGTAAACATCAGGGTCGGTTCCAGCAATAAATGCAAAATGATCAAATATTTGGTTGTTTTAAATGACAGTAAGCGCTCATGATATCAGAACATTAGACAAACATATACTTGCACAAACGTACAGTGGTACTTCGGGTTAAGAACTTAATTCGTTCTGAAGGTCTGTTCTTAACCTGAAACTGTTCTTAACCTGAGGTACCACTTTAGCTAATGGGACCTCCCGCTGCCGCCGCACAATTTCTGTTCTCATCCTGAAGCAAAGTTCTTAACCCGAGGTTCTATTTCTGGGTTAGCGGAGTCTGTAACCTGAAGTGTTTGTAACCAGAAGCGTCTGTAACCCGAGGTACCACTGTATGTGGTTTTATTTATTTTTTAAAGATTGTGTTTCGTTAGCGTCTCTCTTCTTCTTTTTTTACAAGTACTTAGAAAGAAATTCTTGGAAGCAAGCTTGAGTTATAGAGCAGCTTCTAGGGCAGTGAATATGTTGACTGGGGGAAAGAAGGGAAGAACAAAAGACGGCAATTAATAACCCCACAAGTGTTTGCCGTTATTTCCCCACCTCTGCCACTTTTGGCGGAGCGGTCGTCATTAATAAAGACAAATGTAACTTTTACCGGGCCTTAAGGGGCTGCGGAGGGAAATAAACAAGCCTAGGACCCATTGCATCTAAGTAAACAGAAAGGTTGTAAACCCTTCAACCTCAACTGTCAAGAGTGCTGCAAATTAACACCGCGCACAATAGGCCCTTTGGAAGCCAACTTAATCCACCCCCATGTATCTACATGAGGGCCATGCATAACAATGGAGGACTTTGGGCTTCCATTTAGAGTTGCCACTACAGGCTGTCAGTCGTTTGAAGAAATAACCATTTCCTAGGCATGACAGCTCCCCCCTGCCCCCCCCCACAGAATGTTCCCACTGATGTGTAATAGAAGTGACTTTACTTTTCTTTTCTTTTTACATATGCCCCCTCCCCCTCTTCCACTCCTGCCCTCCTTTTCTTCTCCCTCCCCACACTCCCTTCAACTGAGATATGGCTTTGGGGAGAACGGAGGGGATGTACTTAGGCCACTGACCCCCTGCCAGTTTACTTTGTGTGGATTATCTGTGCAGGTGTTAATATAATTGAAGGTGTGGTAGCAGATACAACCCCCTAATCGCTTTTCCTATATGGAGATTACCTAGGTAGAGAATGCTGAGCTGTACCTGAAGAATAGGCATGTGAGTGCCTTATTAACATATCACCATTCAGAGGCAGCTGCATATCTGGGAAGGGGGGGGGCCTTTAAAGAGCCTATTCATCTATGTTAATGGGCCCATTGCACAGTACATTGTGTGGGAAATTAAGTCTCTGGCTGTGAACTTCCTGTGCTATGCAAGCTGCTTTGACTCCTCCCCCCCCCTTTCTACACTTTATTATTGCTTCAGTCTTATTATCTCCTCCTGGAAATAAAAACAATCATGTTCTTACATTGGAGAAGCCAAAACGTTCTCAGATAACAAACTACTGATGCTGGTTGAAAAGTTCCTTTGGTTTCCGCTATTAAGTAGGTAAACAAACAAAGGGGGGGGGAATATGTTTGCAAATTAAAGCAAACCTGAAATTAACATCGCGGCCCATCAAATTAGCTGAGCTGTCATGTACATGACAGTGTGGAATCCTGACCCACCCATTCCTCACTTTCTTGTAAAATATGCACATTTTAAATTGGTTTTCCTATTTATCGCTCTTGCCTTGGAATTAATTCTCCCCCACAAAATTATTCCGCTGAGATATTGTTGTTGTTTATGATGTTGTTGTTGATTGTGATGATGGTGATAAGGCATGGGGATAGAACCGTTTTTCTGTGGAAAGCTGTTGAGTGAAAAAGAATAATTGGTTGATGCAGTAGAAAAGGTATACCTGTATGTAATGCATATCCCTCCACCACTCCCTTCTTTTAATGTATATACTACAGTGGGTGTCTGGAATTAAGTGACTATCACCATCCCTGAGTGGGAATCCCAGATGAATCTATGAAATTCATTCCCAACCTCTGATGTACCCCAGGCAAAGTGGGCAGCTACCTAAATGCAAGCAAATCTGGCAAGGAGAGAGAAGGCGTACCTTTTGTGCACACTGATTTGAACTCAAATCATACATACGGAAATGTCAGCCTTCACCAGTTCTAGGTGTTCATTATTCTATAGTAAACATCCATGAAAATAAATAACTTGTTATTCACATGTGTGTGTGCGAAAGTAATTTTCACACATATATACATCGACAAATGCATATTTCAATATAGATTCAGACACACGCATATGAGGATGAGGCTGGAAAGCTCCTTACTCCCTTTTCTATATTGCTCAGGCCATATTCTGAAACGAGTAATTATCATCAAATATATTGTAACAAACCTTCATCTTTCCTTTATGACCCAAATGCTGAGCATCGAGTCATCACCATCATCGCTACTGCGGTCATTATCGTCATTACCATCATCAGGCTCATAAAAGAGAGCCTTTAATGATCAATACTAACTGATTACAACTCAATTAAGAGAGACCCTTCCAGAGTATTTTTTTTTAATCTGGCCTTCCCCCGCCCCCCAGCCCTCCACTATTTTCAAGTTACTATAATATGTCCCATTATTTAACATATTAAATGAATGTGTGAGAATGTTCCACTGCCACTGTTCCATTTCCCACTAGTCTTCTGCATCTTTCTCCCTCCAGAGCTCTGTGCAGGGAGAAAATGTACTTGATAGTGCTGGGAAAAAATTACGCGAAGGAGCAAATTGTCAAGCAGCGTGCAGTCCAGTGGTTACAACTGATTTCTCCCCCTGCTATTTTGCTAACTATTTTTGACCATTAAGCATCCGATCCCTGTGCAAAACCCTGTTTCCATGTACAACACACTCTCAGATAGATCAGGGAGATATTGCAGAGTGGGGGAAGGAATTAATGTAAGGGGGGCGGAGTCTAGGCAGTTTTTCAGAGTGAATAATGTGAGTGCCTCCAGATTGTCAGTATTTTGCTGGAAGGGTTAAAGTGGGACATAAGAAGCTGCTCTATACAGAATCAGACCACTGGTCCAGCTAGCTCAGTATTGTTGACACTGGTGGCAATGGCTCTCCATAGTTTCAGAAAGCATTTATTTTGGAGGAATGCATGCAAGGCAAATGCTCTGAACCTGAGGTACAGCCTGTCTCCTGGGATAGGGGATACCAGAACTTTAAAGGTAAAGGAACCCCTGACCATTAGGTCCAGTCGTGGCCGACTCTGGGGTTGTGGCGCTCATCTCGCTTTACTGGCCGAGGGAGCTAGCGTACAGCTTCTGGGTCATGTGGCCAGCATGACTAAGCCACTTCTGCTGAACCAGAGCAGTGCACGGAAACGCCGTTTACCTTCCTGCCAGTGCGGTACCTATTTATCTACTTGCACTTTGACATGCTTTCGAACTGCTAGGTTGGCAGGAGCAGGGACCGAGCAACAGGAGCTCATCCCGTCGCGGGGATTCGAACCGCCAACCTTCTGATTGGCAAGTCCTAGGCTCTGTGGTTTAACCCACCTGCGTCCCACCAGAACTTTAGATTTGCACATTTAGAATGGATTAAAGGGCTCTTTTGCACCAGCACAACAACAGAAAGAAAGAAAGAAAGAAAGAAAGAAAGAAAGAAAGAAAGAAAGAAAGAAAGAAAGAAAGAATTTGTATTTTTGTGGTTTGGGAAGCAATGGGAAAATGCACTGAAAAGTTGGGGGTGTATATGGGAAAATGTATAAACTGAAATGTATGCACTGAAAAGTTGGGGGTGTAATGGGAAAATGTATAAACACCCTGCAAACTGGGAAAGGCTGTGGCAGAGACAACTCTGGTTTATATGTGCCCCTCACACAGGGGTGGGTGATCTGTGGTCCCAATTTTCAGGCAAGTGGAGTGAGTCCAGCAGGAGAGGAGGGTGGGGTGGGAGGGAGAGGGCAGAAAACCCAAAGCGATGGTGCTATGGAAGGAAGAGAGGGGAGAAGGGACCACTGCAAGCAATCGGTTCTGACTGCTAGTAAGAGCAACCTGCCTTTCCCTGGCAACCTACTAGGCAGGAAAGAAGGGGTTGTGGGGAAGAGAGGAAAGGAGTTTCAGAAACAGCAAATACAGGTAGAATGAAGGCCCAATTTGGGATTCAACCTCCTCCATTGCAGGGTTCAGCGCCATCTACCTCTGGCTGCAGTCCCAGGTGCCACCAGTTCTGACTCTCAACAAATTGCTCCCTCCCCAGTAAATGGGATCCCAGCTGGGGAGAAAAGGTCACCCATCCCTAACCCATTGAGTTTGTAGCTGAAGCAGCTTTTGAGCCATTCTTAGTTAATGCCCAAAGCTAGGATTATACCACAAAGCACACTCAAAGACTTCCTCAAAGTAAATTGCCAAAGAGGGAAGATGCATTTTCCCTGAGAGTTTGTGACATCCCACCTTACAATTGAGGGGGAGAGGGGGGTTGGGAGAGAAGAATACCGAAGGGAATGTGTATATACATTGCAACAGTAGTTTGTATTATGCACATTGATACTTCAATCACAATGTTAGCAAATTCTGACTCTCTACTGTAAAAAATGGGTCTTGAATAAGAACAGAGACCTCTCTTGTTTCCAACCTTAGCTCATCCATAGGCAGATGAACTTGCAAAAAAAGCTAAGTTTTCTTTCTCTCCCTCTTTCTCTCATCGACATTTCGTGCATTTATCAGCATTTATTTCTCACTAGCCACACTGTGATGTTTTTTGAAGTTGAAATGAGCCTTTGCAACTTCTTTCTGTCTCATACAGTTAACAATGAAAGCAACAAAAGGACCTCCAGAGAGCTTCATATTTCTCGACAAAAGATAGCTGATCTGCATAGAGAAAAGGGCTGCTGGGGGTGGGGGGAGAAAGCCATTCATATTTAAATGAAGCTTGCTTTAGCATTAAATTTCCATCTTTCATGTTACCTTGTCTGTTCTGTTTTTGTTAGTGTTTGTTTTCTGTGATCTGGCTGCAACAAAATCTGCATACTGAATATTCTTGGTGGTTTCTGACTTCCCAAAAAGAACGTGTAGGCACCTGAACAAAATCTGATATCCCAGATGGAAAGAGTTATCTCCTAAACGGTCAGTTGCCTCTGATAAAACCAAAGCCTTTTTTTCACAGGAGAAATATGTGGCCTTATTGTCACCTTTTACTCTGATAGAAGCTCCAAGTGTGAGCAAAGTTTCACAGATGCCATTCTTTCTTCTGTGGAAGGTGGGGAGACTGTATCCGCTGTGTGATTTGAAAGTATAAAAATCATGCAGATATTACAGCATACGTATTCATGTTTGGAAGCTAATGCTCCCCATAAACACACATGAAATTTTCACCCCCCCCAAAAAAAATTACACCCATGTTTGAAAAACACCATGTGTGAAGCAATCATAATTTCTTCCCTAAGTAAAGTTTGTAAGATGGAGCCCATCTGCCTCTTTCAAATGATGAGAGTTATAAGAGGAAACGTGAAGTCTTTACAGCTGCAGTGTATGGAATATGCTATTACTTTGGTGGCAAAACCATTAGAAAAAAATATGTATTTTTAAATGCTCTGACAGTTTACTGTTTTAACATTTCAGTGAGGAAGGCTATGATTATGTCTGTCTTTAAAACGTTTATCTGGCACTGAGATAAGAGTCCCGGCCCAGGGTATTAGTAAGCGTAAAAGCTGCACCTTAGGTTAAAAAAAATGTAATTTTGCGTTATTCTTTTAAAGAAACCTTAACTAAGAGTCATGGGATCGGATTTAGAGTGTTGTAATCAAGGACAAGAGTTTTAAAATGCTTTCCTCCCATCCTGTGGTCCCAATGAAAATCACACACACACCCATTGCTATTTGCATCTGTGTAAATGGTAACTGGGGAGCCATTTTTTTATTAGCACCACTCCACAGGGGAAAGGGGGATCACAACCCTCCACCCAGGTCCTGATTTCTGGTTGCTATTTGAAGCCAACAAAGGATGCAACATCAAGCTCCACACTGAATGTAGCATGTAGTTTGGCCCCACATCTGTGACTGAGGCACCTCTGGAGTCCTCATTTCAAACATCTTGAGCCTAACATCAATGGGCCTGTTCCTCGTATTCATTGAATTACAGAGCTGTAAGGGTGCCTGGTGCCTGGGACGCAGGTGGCACTGTGGGTTAAACCACAGAGCCTAGGACTTGCCGATCAGAAGGTCGGCGGTTTGAATCCCTACGACGGGGTGAGCTCCCGTTGCTCAGTCCCTGCTCCTGCCAACCCAGCAGTTCGAAAGCACGTCAAAGTGCAAGTAGATAAATAGGTACCGCTCCGGCGGGAAGGTAAATGGCGTTTCCGTGCACTGCTCTGGTTCACCAGAAGCGGCTTAGTCATGCTGGCCACATGACCCGGAAGCTGTACGCCGGCTCCCTCGGCCAATAAAGCGAGATGAGCACTGCAACCCCAGAATCGGCCACGACTGGACCTAATGGTCAGGGGTCCCTTTACCTTTACCTTTAAGGGTGCCTGGGTACTCATCCTCTGCTCAATGCATGTTCTGCATTACAGAAGTCAAGCACAGTGTCTCTGTCAGGAGACTCTCCTGCCTCTGCTTCAATACCTCTAGCTCTCCTAATGTTTAACCAACATCTACTCTTCCCTGCAATTTGCAATTTGATTCCAGTCCTGCCCCCCACCTCCCACCCCGAGCATCAAAAGGATTAGTTTCCTTCATCTTCAGACCCCTGTTCTACTTACCAATGGATGGCTGCTGCAACACCATGTGATGACTTGCATGTCAGAATGGGCCATTGCACATAGCAACAACACCGTGGTCCACTTTGCATTGGTCCAAACACGATGCTTTCCAGTGGAATCAGTTCATAGATTCAGCTGAATTGAGAAGAGATGCTGACTAATACCATCATTCATTATTTAGATGCAGTTCTACATATTACTTGATATTATGCTAATAATAATAATAATAATAATAATAATAATAATAATAATATATTTATTATTTATTTTCCCTGCCACTCTGGGCGGCTTCCAGCAAAATATTAAAATACAATTGTCTGTCAAACATTAAAAGCTTCCCTAAACAGGGCTGCCTTCAGATGTCTTCTAAAATTCTAGTAATTGTTTTTCTCTTTGACATCTGGTGGGAGGGCGTTCCACAGGGTGGGTGCCACTACTGAGAAGGCCCTCTGCCTGGTTCCCTGCAACTTGGCTTCTTGCAGCGAGGGAACCGCCAGAAGGCCCTTGGCACTGGACCTCAGTGTCCGGGCAGAACGATGAGGGTGGAGACACTCCTTCAGGTATACTGGACCGAGGCCGTTTAGGGCTTTAAAGGTCAACACCAACACTTTGAATTGTGCTCAGAAATGTACTGGGAGCCAATTTAGGTCTTTCAAATATTACGTAATTGCATTTCTAGTCAAGGATACGTGGCTCTCTTCTTCCTCTTTCTAAACTCACAAAAAACCTCTGTGAGGTAGGCTTGGGTGGTGACTGGCCCACAGTCTCCCAACAGACAACCATAGCTGAATTGGGCTTTGAACCAAGACCTCCCCAGTCCCAATTTGATGCTCCAATCAGTACAGCGACTACACCATACTTGAGCTCAAGCCACTGGGATGTTCCTCTGTGCAAACTCCACTGGCAGAAATGGAAGCTGCCCAAGAGCAAATAGAGAATGTTCAAGGCATGTTGTTTCCCCCTTCTATAATTAGAGCTGCCAGACCGAGGTTATTTCCAGGCTGTTGCTATTTTAGGGTGAGTTTCCAGCAGATTCATACTAGCAAATTCTGGTTGTGCAATTAACATTGATTTGGCGCTTTTTTTGCAACAAATACACTTCCCTCCTTCCCTAAAATAGTTCTATTTGTGACAAAGAAAATGGCGAGGAAATGCATTGGAAAGTGTGGGGTACCAGTTGCTTGATATAATGTTGCATAACCTCCCACGAACAAATCAGGATAAATGCTCAATAAATATCCGATGGCGTCAAACCTCCCCACAAACAAATCGGGATGGATGCACAATAAACAGGTCAACTGGAAGCAACCAGGCAGCGGCAGTAGTGGTAGTAGAAATACTATTACTATTGCTACTACTACTATTAATCTTCATTATTTTAGGCGCCAGGTGAAAGCATTCCTCTTCAACCAGGCCTTTGGTGGATCAGTCTTTTAAATGTATCTGTGGGAAGGGGGAGGGCATTGCTTTGTTGTTTTCGTTTAAATATTTACTGTGTCTTATCTTGTATTTTATTCTGTGAACTTCCCTGAGATCTTTTGATGAAGGGTGGTATGTATATAATTTTTAATGATGGTGAACTTAAAAACAACAACTGGAGGCTCTCTAAAGAATTCAACCGAAAGCATCTGTCTGGTTATCTATTGGATCACCATTAAATTATCAATTTATAATGACAATGGTATTCCACCCCTGCTAATCCATCTTGCTTGTAAGAAAGTGGATCTAAGCAGACAGGTAGGACAACTGGCATAACCACAACACTCTCCAACCAGATGTTGTTGGGAGTGGTGACTGGGAGCGGCCGCCGAGACCATATAACACCGGTCTTGAAAGACCTACATTGGCTCCCACTATGTTTCCGAGCACAATTCAAAGTGTTGGTGCTGACCTTTAAAGCCCTAAAAGGCCTCAGTCCAGTATATCTAAAGAGCGTCTCCACCCCCATCGTTCTACCCGGACACTGAGGTCCAGCACTGAGGGCCTTCTGGCGGTTCCCTCATTGCAAAAAGCCAAGTTACAGGGAACCAGGCAGAGGGCCTTCTCAGTAGTGGCGCCCTCCCTGTGGAACGCCCTCCCATCAGATGTCAAAGAGATAAACAACTACCAGACTTTTAGAAGACATCTGAAGGCAGCCCTGTTTAGGGAATGTTTGATGTATTACAGTATTTTAATATTTTTTGGAAGCCGCCCAGAGTGGCTGGGGAAGCCCAGCCAGATGGGCGGGGTATAAATAATAAATTATTATTATTATTATTATTATTATTATTATTATTATTATTATTATTACTCTTATCAGCCCCAGCCAACACGTCAAAACCTGGGCTTGACCACTCCTTGGCGCCAAGCATTTGGCACAGGTTCTTCCATTATGTGCCCCTTGAGCATTTCCCCTCTGTTGAAGCCCAACGAAAGCAATGCCTCCCCTTGTTTCCTTGGCCGGCCTGCTTCATCCCCCTCTCTCATTACCCCGGGCGACTGCGACTAGCGTTCTCACCATGCGTGTGGGTGCAACGACTTGTTGTGTCACTAAGGACAGCACTAACAGCAGCTTCATTAGTTCTTTTTACAACAAAAGCTGGAGGGTTGGGTCCCCCCCCCTTTCTCTGCCTTCTCTTTCTTCCCCTTAGTTGGCATGCGGGTTGAATTTTCCTTGGACCCCCTGCTTGACTTTTTTTTACAGCTCCTTTTGAACAGCGAGGCAGCGTGAACAACTAAGAATTGTAACTGATAGACTGTTTGCATGAGAACCCATGAAAGTCCCCTTTGTTCCTTTCACGTCAGCCAGGTTTAAGCAGACCCTTCCCCCCCCCCCAACCCCTCGGCTAAAGAGGAGGAAAAAGGAAATCCACTTTTAATTATACATTGATGGAAATCGCTGCATAGTGAAGTTACATCAAGTGGAGAATGGCCAGTTTATACTCTTTTATCTCAGCAGCCCAAAGAGGCGCTGTCTTCAAAATAGATATGTCAGCACAGAATGCCAGTTCCCAATATGTGGACAGCCTTGCCTAATTTAAATCAGATTACCAGCTTCATTTATAATCATGAAAACATTTTCAGAAGCGCAGCCATATTACTAATGGACTGGTTGACACCTTGAGCCGGCAAGCACTTACTTATGTACATGAGCAAGCTTGACTCAGATGGGGCACAATGAATAGGACTGCAACGTAAACTGGGAAGTCAAATGATGGACAAAAATATGCTCCACTGTTTGTCATTAAGAAAACAAAAAGGTGGGAAGTAGGGGCCTTTGCTGATGGCAGTCAATGACTCATTTTTGTACGCTGCAAGATATAGATAAGATAATTTACAAATCAGCAGTCTTGCTTGAGTAAAATGTTGGCAATCCCTGATAAAGTGGAGCAAGGCTTTTGCAGTGGGTTGATCTAGTGAGGCCAGTCACTAATGGGGGTTCTTCCCTTCTGCATTATCAGAACTGCACACAGAATTGTTATCTGATATTTTTAAAGGTTTGATATTGCCATGGTTTTAAGATGCACATTTTATGTGCATCGAAGGAAATCAATCAGTAAATATGTCCATATGTTTATGTCAGTTTTAAATAAATGATAAACACTGTACTTGTCGGATGATTGGAAAAACCATTTCTGTGTTATCTGAGTTCTTGGATCAAATATGAAATCTGTGGGTGGGTGAGTGGGTGCATGTGTGTCTAATGATTTTTAGTAAAAAAAATAAAGTTTGTGGTAGGTTGTTATGAGTAATGCTGATGTTCAAGCATTTTGCTTTTTCTCCCTGATTTCCATAGTTGTCCAGGGCTGTGTGAGTTCCATGATCCCATGTAAAAAGTGAAGCTATAGGATCTGCTTGCAAAATCAGGAAGCATGCATGATGAGGCAATAAACTTTTATTCAGAAGTAAGAAGAAGAGTTTGGATTTGATATCCTGCTTTATCACTACCCTAAGGAGTCTCAAAGTGGCTCACAATCTCCTTTCCCTTCCTCCCCCACAAACACTCTGTGAGGTGAGTGAGGCTGAGAGACTTCAGAGAAGTGTGACTAGCCCAAGGTCACCCAGCAGCTGCATGTGGAGGAGCGGGAATGCGAACCCAGTTCACCAGATTACGAGTCTACTCAATATGATTTTTAGGTCTAACTCCAAAATTACAGAGCAATTCTAACCAGTGGCCAGGGATGATCAGAATGGCAGAGACACCACCATATCTGAAGCCTTGCCAGCTTGTGCTAGTCACGGCAGAAGTTTCAAGGGTTTTCTGGGTTTGTTTTTGTTTTGTTTTTTTAGTTTTTTAAAAACCTTTGCTAGCTCCAGGCTGATGCAGTCAAGGGGCTGAGTAGTTAGTCCCTCGGCGATCCAAAGGGGTTTGGATCTCTGCCACTACCAGCAGGAGAACCACCAGTAGCAGTTTTCTACCCATCATGGCAGAGCCCCTTCCCATCACCAGCAGAGGCCAGCACAGAGAGATGCCAACATGCTAGACTGAAGTGCTGGATCAGAGCTTGGACGAAGTGATAGGCTGGATGTGAGCCAATCAATTGAAGCTGAATCTTGGAACAGGTACTCCTGGATCCAACGCTGTCACTGGAGGATCAGGTAGCCTTGGTGGCCAGGAGTGCCTTTTTCCATCTCTGACCCCTCTTGGGAAAATATGACTTGGCCACTGTGCCCCACACTCTCCTAACCTCCAGATTGGACTATAGCAAATGCACTCTACATGGAGCTGTCTCTGAAGACGATTTGGAAACTTAAACTGATCCAAAATGTAGGGGCCTAATTACTGGACAAGGTTCCATTCAGACCTCATACAACCCCTGTTTTAAAATAGCTGTATTGACTGGTTGTCAGTATGTTTCCAATTCAAGTTGTTCATGTTAGTGTTTAAAGCCCTATATGACTTAGGCACCAAATATCTGATACACTGCCTCCATCCCCACCAACCTGTTAAGATATGCAGAGGTGGCTCTCTTGGTAAGTCTCGCCACCCTCAGAAGTGCTGGGTATTGGAGTCATATACTTACGTGAATTATGTGAATGGTGTGTGTGTTTTACAAAAGGGCCATAGTTATGTTTGGGGGGGAAATAACTTGACTCTATACAGAGATGCTCACGAAACTATCACTTGTTTAAGGAGCAGTGGGATTCAGTTTTAACTTTGCTACTTGCCTGTAAGATGGTGAGACATCTGTTGGAACTTGGGCTGAGCTGGTAGTAATAATAGGAATAAATATTCCTTTGCGTCAGGATGTGCTGAATCACTCAGAGGAGCCTTAAGTGACAGACTAGTCTGGAACAATTGACACACAGCAGGGGCAACTGGAAGTGGTCCCGCCCACCCCGTTGAGAAGAAATCTTTCAAGGGGAAGAAAATGAGAATTAAACTGACTTGAGTAATGGGTGGAACAGACTGAGAGAACTAGGACAAGGGGAAACAATATGCACATGTACAAATCTTTTAATTTTGTTTGCTTTTTAAAAGTATTTATGGCAGCTGTGCATAGTACGCCCTTATTTATTTTAACAGACCTGTGTGCATCAGAATGTTTGCATAAGGAAAATCTTGAGTAAAAACAAGATTACCATCTGAGAAAAATCAGAAGATGTAGGCAACTAATGTGATAACGACATGGTTATTTATTTGTTATGTGGTATTTGGTTAGGTAAAGGTAAAGGTACCCCTGCCCGTACGGGCCAGTCGTGTCCGACTCTAGGGTTGTGCGCCCATCTCACTTAAGAGGCCAGGGGCCAGCGCTGTCCGGAGACACTTCTGGGTCACGTGGCGAGCCTGCACCAGCGCAGCACACGGAAACGCCGTTTACCTTCCCGCTAGAAAGCGGTCCCTATTTATCTACTTGCACTTAGGGGTGCTTTCGAACTGCTAGGTGGGCAGGAGCTGGGACCGAAAGACGGGAGCTCACCCTGCCGCGGGGATTCGAACCGCTCACCATACGATCGGCAAGCCCTAGGCGCTGAGGTTTTACCCACAGCGCCATCCGCGTCCCCGCGGTATTTGGTTATTGTGGACTAAAATTAAGGTTAGTAACTGAAAGGCCCTGGAAGAAATCTGACCCACTGACTCTCAAGTTACCAACATAGATGAAGAAGGAATTTGGATAAAGTTGCATATGTGGCAATAAGAGCTGTTCAACTGTGGAGTGGGCTTCCTCAGGAGGTTGTGGACTCTCCTTCTTTGGAGGTCTTTAAGCAGAGGTTGGATGGCCATCAGTCATGGATGCTTTTAGCTGAGATTCCTGCATTGCAGGAAGTTGAACTAGATGACCCTTGAGGTCCCTTCAATCTCTACCATTCTATGATTCTGATTCCTCTGAGGTAGAAAACAGTCTGGGACCATAATATCTCTAGGACTGCCTCTCTCTCTGTGTGAACCTGCCTGGACCCTGAGATCATCATCTGAGTCCCTTCTTTGTGTGTCTCCTCCACAGGAGGTCCAGAGGGTGGCAACATGAAAACAAGCCTTTTCTGCAGTGGCTCCCATTTGTGCAATGCTCTCTCCAGGGAGATTCCTCTGAGACCTTCATTATACATCTAGAGGCACCAGGAGAAAATGTTCCTCTTCAACCAGGCTTTGGGCTGATTAACATCCTACAAGAGCCTTCTAAATGATTAACATCCTATAACGTCCTTCTAAATGTGTTGAGAGGGGAGGTGTTGGTTTGGTTTGTCCTTGTCTTTATTACGTACGTGTTTTTTATCTTGTGTTTTTATGTTGTGAACATAAAAATGAATGAAGGGCGGATGAAGGGCAGTGTACACATTTAATAAATAATAGTAACAGTAGTAGTAATAATAACTCCTTTTTACTTTTCATTATTACTAGCTTTGCTGTTTGGAGAGAGGCCATAGTTCAGTGGTAGAGCATAAGAGACCATACAGACTTGCTCTCTTTATAAAGATCTGCGCCATGATGTCATTACTCTTCTTCCATCATCCATACCAGGTCGTCCATCCACTGCCACAGTGTCCTTCCTTCTTGCAGACCAAGATTACCAGGTGCCAGCAAACATGGCAAATTTTTTGGCTGGGGCAATTAGAATTAGATCTACCATCTGACTAACTTGTTGAATGCCTAGGAAAGAAAGCCCACTCGTTCATATGTTTTATTTGTGGTCAAGGACAGTTATTAACTCTTTTATTTGTATAGTTGTAAACTTTCAGAATGCATTTTGTATAGCCAACCATCTAGCTATATCTGTATTTTATTGTATTTCATTCCTTTGCTATGGCTTGTGGCTGACACAAATAAAGATTTTATCAATCATCTACCTATAATCAATCAATCAATCTATCTATCTATCATCTATCTATCTATCTATCATCTATCTATCTATCTATCTATCTATCTATCATCTATCTATCTATCATCTATCTATCTATCTATCTATCTATATCTATCATCTATCTATCATCTATCTATCTATCATCTATCTATCTATCTATCATCTATCTATCTATCTATCTATCTATCTATCTATCTATCATCTATCTATCTATCTATCTATCATCTATCATCTATCTATCTATCTATCTATCTATCTATCTATCTATCTATCATCTATCTATCCATCCATCTATCTACCATACAGATGATCTTGTGTTGACAATCAGTGGCATCTCCATAGGATCTCTGCCCAGAAACCCAACACCGTTCAGAGCAGACAACCCACATGTGATCTGAGCACCAAGTTGTCTTCAGCCTAATTTCTTTTGGAGTTGGAGAATCTTGGGGAAAGGAGGTAGCAGAGAAAGGCAGTGTTCAGCCTACCACTGGCTTCAGTCCTGCCCATCATGTCAAGTGGCCTCCAACAGATTATCATTGCGTGAATGTGGCCCTTGACAGAAAAAGGGTCCCCCACCCCTTGGGTATTTTAACAAATAGCCTGACCAGGTACAAGGCTGCTGCCTGTGCTTCTCCCTCTTCACGACCTTTCTCTCTCTCTCTCTCTCTCTCTCTCTCTCTCTCTCTCTCTCTCTCTCATATATATATATATAACAGGGACAGATTCTAAAGATTTTAGAGGTATTTGTTCCGTTAATTCCCTGCTGGTTCGTTCTTTGCCCACTTCATGCTGGTTCCCTGATCTATTATAGTCAACTTACCTTTAAAATAGCCTTTTCTTTTAAAAAATAGTTTTTAAATATTTGGCAGAAGTCTCTCTGTGTCTGTCTCTGTAGCACTTCATGAAATACAAATGAATCTCTATCAGCAAAAGAGATTCCTGTGAACATTTATCAATTGAGATCACTGGGCTAATCAAATATGAAGGCGAATACTCCACCCCAGAATGCAGACAGAGGCTCATTCTCAGTAGGGGTAGGCATGTCACAAGCAGGTTGTCCCAATTAAAAGGATTCTGCTACCACAAAATTCCAGGATTTGGAAAAAAAAAAGATTAGGGATGAGCAGATTTCCTCACACCATTTCCTAATTGTTTTGTGGGTGCTCTTTGGACAGTGCTCTCTTCCTTCTGTACAGTACTCCCCTCCCCTGATGGCTTTCTGATAACAATTTAACAAACAAACAGATTTTTGAACTGATGCACATGTAATTTGCTGCAGTTCTCAGTTCTTTGGGAAGGGGTCGCTAGTGAGGAAGAAAAATGACCTCCCCAATTCATGGCTTTGCTGGCTGAGGTTGAAGAGTGCAAAAGCACCTGAAGGGCACCAGACTGGGAAAGTTTGCGCTAGGTGGCAGTGAATGGGAGAGGGTGTTTAGGTGTTCAGGAAGGTCTCGTTTTTAAGTTTGCAGAATCTTACCATTTGGTGGAGCAGCAGTATGGCAGACTCCACCCACCCCTTTTAAAAAAACAAAACAATGATTGGTAGTCACTTCCTTCCTTCCCTGCTGGGCCCAAATACATGAATTCTTGTAAATTGCAGGGGGCAGGGGATGGTGGCCATTTTCTTGTTTTGACCATCATTTCAGC